GATGAATGGCAAAGTCTAAAGTTCAAAGACTTTGATAAAGTGATGAATTATAATTCCGCTATGATGGAAATTGTGGTTAAACTGAAATATTATGGTGATATTATCACTGATTCTCAGATGCTTGAGAAAACGTATACCACGTTTCATGAAAACCACATTACCCAGCAAAAACTGTATATGTCATATGGGTATACCGAACTTTCGGATTTATTTGTGGCACTCCTAATAGCGGAAAAGATTAATGAGACCGCTCATGCGGTTAACTAAAGAGCTTGTATTGAGACTGCTGAAATAGTCTCTAGTTATGCCATATATGTATAATATTATGCTTTTATTATTTTGAAAAATAATGTTGTTTTAACAACAATTTAATGTATAATTATTGTGTGTTTTCCTTTTATAAAATTTACTTTCTTTATGTTTATCTTAATCACAGAAATGGATGAAACAATCTCCAAGGAAATGGCTCAAGAAATTTGTATACCAGATAGTGGAACAACACACACTATTCTGAAGGACAAAAGATATTTCTCTAACTTAAAACCGACAAACGTTATTGTCAATACAATATCAGGTCCTGTAGACGTGATTGAAGGAACTGGTATGGCCAACTTTATGTTGCCTAATGGAACCAAGTTTTCCATAAAAAATGCCTTGTATTCTCCAAACTCTAAAAGGAATTTGTTGAGTTTCAAAGACATATACCTTCAAGGATATGATACTCAGTCTGCAACTGAGAATGAAAAGAAGTATATGTACATAACTTCTGATAAATCGGGAAAAAGGCTTATATTGGAAAAATTTCCAAAACTTCCTTCAGGATTGCATTATACTCATATAAGTGCAATCGAATCGCATCTAGTGATTAAAAGAAATCCAGAAGATTTCACATTATGGCATGATCGCCTCGGTCATCCAGGCACCTCGATGATGCGAAAAATCATAGAGAGCTCACATGGACACCCATTGAAAATCCAGGAGATATATCATGGGAATAAAAAGACATGTGCCGCATGTTCTCTTGGAAAACTGATCATAAGGCCATCGCCAACTAAAATTGATAAAGAATCACCAAAATTCCTTGAACGAATTCAAGGAGATATTTGTGGACCAATACATCCACCATGTGGACCATTCCACTATTTCATGGTATTAATTGACGCATCCAGCAGATGGTCACATGTTTGTCTATTATCATCTCGAAATATGGCATTTGCGAGATTTCTAACTCAAATAATCAAACTGAGGGCTCAGTTTTCTGATTACCCTATTAAAAGAGTTAGACTAGACAACGCTGGTGAATTCACATCCCAAGCATTCAATGAATATTGTATGGTAACGGGAATTGAAGTTGAACATCCTGTAGCTCATGTTCATACACAAAATGGCTTGGCGGAATCATTAATTAAACGTCTGCAATTGATTGCAAGACCATTGATCATGAGATCAAAACTTCCAACCTCTGTATGGGGACATGCCATTTTGCATGCAGAAGCACTCATTCGGATAAGACCAAGTGCATATCATAAATATTCCCCATTACAACTAGTATTTGGTCGTGAACCAAATATATCCCATCTAAGAATTTTTGGTTGTGCAGTGTATGTGCCTATAGCACCACCACAACGTACAAAGATGGGACCACAAAGAAGGTTGGGAATATATATTGGCTGTGACTCTCCATCAATTATAAGATACCTAGAACCGCAGACTGGTGATGTTTTTACGGCACGTTTTGCCGATTGTCACTTTGATGAGAAAGTATTCCCGGTTCTAGGGGGAGAAAATAAGCAAGTAGGAAAAGAAATTAAATGGTGTGTACCATCCCTGTTACACCTTGATCCTCCTACAAAACAGTCAGAAATAGAAGTTCGACGAATTGTGCATTTGCAAAGTATAGCAAATCAACTTCCCGATGCTTTTGCAGATACCAAAACGGTAACTAAATCATATATACCAGCTGCAAATGTTCCTGCTCGAATTGAAATACCACAAGAAAGTGGAAGAGCAGATGATACACGTGAGTCTAAAACACGCTTGAAACGTGGTAGACCAGTTGGTGCTAAGGATAAAAATCCTAGAAAACGAAAGGAAGTTGAAAAGCATGATATTCCCAAAATAGCAGAAAGCATTTTGGAAGAAACGAATCATGAGTCTAATGACAATGATGAGCATCATGAGCCTGAAGGAAATCATGAGATTTCTATCAACTATATCCATAATGGAAAGATCTGGGATCGAAATAAAATGGATGAAGTTAATGACGTTTTCTCATACCTTTTGTCAAAGGAAATTGATGAAGAAAACGAGGATCCAGAACCAAAGTCGGTATATGAATGTCAAAAGAGACATGACTGGATAAAATGGAAAGATGCAATACAAGTCGAACTTGATTCGCTCAACAAGCGAAATGTATTCGGACCTATTGTACTCACACCTGAAGATGTGAGACCGGTTGGATACAAATGGGTTTTCGTTAGAAAACGAAATGAGGAAAATATAATTACGAGATACAAGGCTCGTCTCGTAGCTCAAGGATTTTCTCAAAGACCCGGGATTGATTATGAGGAAACATATTCCCCCGTTATGGATGCAATAACGTTTAGATTCTTGATGAGTCTAGCGGCTGATGAAAATTTAGAAATGCGTCTCATGGATGTTGTTACAGCATATTTGTATGGATCATTAGATACAGATATCTATATGAGAGTTCCCGACGGGTTTAATGTGCCAGAAGCATTGAAATCTAAACCAAAAGAGTTATGTGCAATAAAGTTGCAAAGATCATTATATGGGTTAAAGCAATCTGGGCGAATGTGGTATAATCGTCTCAGTGAACATTTAACAAAAGAAGGATACGTGAACGATCCTATATGCCCATGTGTTTTCATAAAGAAAACAAATTCCGGATTTGTGATAATTGCGGTATATGTTGATGATCTAAACATAATCGGGACTCAAGATGAAATACAGAAAGCAACAAACTATTTAAAAGGGGAATTCGAGATGAAAGATCTCGGACAAACAAAGTTTTGTCTTGGCCTACAAATTGAACATTCCCAAAAGGGTATATTTGTGCACCAATCCACGTATACTAAAAGAGTGCTAAAACGATTCAACATGGATAAGGCAACTCCTCTTAGTACTCCTATGGTCGTTAGATCACTTAACGTTGAGAGTGATCCATTTCGACCGCATGAGGAAAATGAAGAGATACTTGGTCCTGAAGTACCATATCTAAGTGCAATTGGAGCCCTTATGTATCTTGCAAATTGTACAAGACCTGATATATCATTTGCCGTTAATCTTTTGGCAAGATTCAGTTCATCTCCTACGAGAAGGCATTGGAATGGGATTAAACATATCTTCCGATATCTTCAAGGGACGATGAATTTAGGATTATTTTATCCTAAAAATTCAAAAAGGCAAATGGTTGGTTTTGCAGATGCGGGATATTTATCAGATCCACATAAAGCCCGATCACAGACTGGATACGTCTTTACGATCGGAGGCACTGCTATATCCTGGCGTTCCCAGAAGCAAACGCTTGTGGCTACTTCTTCAAATCATGCTGAAATCATTGCACTACATGAAGCAAGTAGAGAATGTGTATGGTTGAGATCAATAAGCCAACACATTCAATCAAGCAGTGGGATCAACGTAAACAAAGAGCCAACCATCCTATATGAAGATAATGCTGCATGCGTTGCCCAAACGAAGGAAGGATATATCAAAAGTGATAGAACCAAACATATCCCTCCGAAATTCTTTTCATACACCCAAGAACTTGAGAAGAATAAAGACATTGAAGTCAAATATGTCCGATCATGTGACAATGCTGCAGATCTCTTCACAAAATCACTACCTACCTCGGTGTTCAAGAAGCATCTCTATGCTATTGGAATGCGCCACCAACGAGATCTGTAAAGTTGATCACTCGAGGGGGAGACTACGTCGTTGTACTCTTTTTACCTACTAAGGTTTTTCCCACTGGGTTACTTAGAAAGGTTTTTAACGAGGCAACAGAAGATATTACGCAAGAGACATAGTGACACTGGTCTCCAAGGGGGAGTGTTACAAAAGTCACAAAAACAAACGTCAACAATATCAAGCGTCAAAGATAGACGCTGCACGTGAAAATATTACGAGTAAAATATAATTTGTGTGGAGCCCACCGTCACTATGCACGCATAGTAATTTACTTTTTTACGTCTATATAAACGAACGATCGTTCGTTGTAAAATCACAATTCATACTTCAACAAGAAGTTATAAGAAATCTCTCTCCTCCTCTCATCTCTTTATTTTCAGTATCCCGATCCTTCTGCGGGTATAAATTCTTTCTCCATTATTTATATTTATATACACCATAATATAAAGTAATTATTTATAACATTTATTTTATTTTGAATTTATGATAATATTTTTCTATCATTTTTTTTTGTTTAGAATACAACATTTTCTTAAGAGAGAGCTACTAGTTTGGTGGGCATTTAATATGTCTTTTATTTGTTGGGTAGTCCTTATTTATTAACACCATAAAGTTTGATCAGATTGTAATTTGGTATGATCATAAAGGTATTAAACCAGATTAAACTCTTCTGAAACGTTGACCTGGAGATCTTCCAAACGTTCACAATTTTGTTTTCTCTTATTATATTTGAAAGAATGTTGTTGGCAATAATAAATCCACCATTGAATATCCTATTTACAATAAAAAAAATTGAATAAAAATAAACTTATATGCACTCTGTCGTCACAAAGAGATGATATTATCTTGTTAGTTATTTTATATAATCTCTGGGGAATTGGTTTTCTTGCAAGTTAGGACTTTATTTTCCGCTTTAAAAATGAAATTGTTGCGGTTGGATTGTTCAACTGAACTTGATCATATTTCTTGTTGATGCAAGAAACAAAATTCAAAAAATATGGTGATTATTGAGACTTTAACGTGTGACATTTCGTTCATATATACAAAGTATACTCTCTAACACCAATTTAAAGCTTCAAATTTTCATCGGTTGCAGAACACAAAATAAGAGGAATTGCCTGATTATAGTTATGGAAGAAGCAACACAAATGAGTTCCGAGGTCCCTCTAGTTAAGGTAATTAATGATCTTCTTTCCTTGTAACTCAGATGAAAAACTATAAGTTTCCAAGATGGTCTAAGTTTATATAATTCGTGGAAAACTATAACTCCAAGATTAAATTACAAAATTCACTCCAAACTATAACTCTAGGAAATTATTAGTTATATCATTGACTTTAAGTATGATTGAAGCTATGGCAAAGGAAGATTAAGTATATATACTAGTTCTTGGAGAAGATAAAGTATTGTGACGATTTATTACAGGTCGTGAATGAAGAAGTGACAAAGGAAGATACTGTCATGGAGAAAGGAGAGGAGGATACAACATTTGATGGTGGATTCGTAAAAGTTGAGAAAGAAGGGATCAACGCCAAGTATGATGACGATGAAAAAGCAGAGAAGCAAGTCGTGATTGAAGGAAACTCGAACGGTGCACAAAGAGAACTACATGAATCGCAAGAAAAGGCGAAAGAATTGGAGTTGGAATTGGAAAAAGTAACAGTGGAACTGAAACGGTATGAATCCGAGAATACCCTTTTGAAGGACGACATTTCTTCTACGAAAGGGAGATTAGAAGAAACCGAAAAGAAGCATGAAGAGCTTGAATTGGTTAAAAAGAAGCTGCAAGAGCAAATTTCTGAAGGGGAAGCAAGACATAGCTCACAGTTGAAGTCTTTGGAAGATGCTTTGCAGTTACATGATGTTAAACATAAGGAACTAACTGAAGTTAAGGAAGCTTTTGATGCGTTAGGCCTCGAGCTTGAGAACTCGAGAAAGAAGATGATAGAGTTGGAGGAAAGGCTAAGACTTTCTGCTTCAGAGGCAGAGAAATTTGAAGAGCTGCAAAAGCAAAGTGCATCACATGCTGATGAACTTGAAGAGAAACTGAAGATTTCAGATGAAAGATTCTCCAAAATAGATTCTCTTCTTTCTCAAGCATTGTCCCAAAACTCTGTTCTTGAGCAGAAACTGAAATCTTTGGATGAATTATCCGAGAAGGTATCAGAACTAAAATCTACCTTGATAGTAGCTGAAGAGAAAGAAAAAAAGTTGACTATTCAGATGCAGGAATACCAAGAAAAGGTAACTAAGCTAGAGTCGTCTTTGAACCAATCATCGGCGAGAAACTTAGAGCTTGAAGAAGATTTGAGAATTGCTTTGCAGAAAGGTGCAGAGCATGAAGATATTGGAAATGTGAGTACTCAGCGCAGCGTTGAGCTACAAGGTCTGTTCCAAACATCTCAGTCACAATTAGAGAAAGCAGAAGAAAAATTGAAAGACTTGGAGGCAATCCAAGTGAGAAACTCGAGTCTTGAAACTGCTTTAAGCGTTGCAATGGAGAAAGAGAGGGACTTGTCAGAAAATCTTAATGCTGTGATAGAGAAGCTGAAATCCGCTGAAGAGAGACTTGAGAGGCAAGCAAGAGAAATAGATGAAGCTACCACAAGAAGCATAGAGCTTGAAGCTTTGCATAAACACTCAGAGCTTAAAGTTCAAAAGGCTATGGAGGATTTCAGTAGCAGAGATACAGAGGCCAAGTCTTTGACTAAGAAATCAAAAGATCTCGAGGAGAAAATCAGAGTATATGAAGGGAAATTGACTGAAGCATGTAGTCAATCACTTTCTTTGCAAGAGGAACTTGATCAATCGTCTGCGGAGAATGAATTACTAGCAGATACAAACAACCAGCTCAAGATCAAGATTCAAGAACTTGAAGGATATCTGGATTCTGAGAAAGAAACCGCAACCGAAAAGTTAAACCAGAAAGACACAGAAGCTAAAGACTTGATTACAAAGTTGAAATCCCATGAAAACCTAATCGAGGCGCACAAAAGGCAGGTTCTTGAAGCATCTGGAGTTGCTGATACTAGAAAAGTGGAGCTAGAAGAGGCTCTACTGAAACTTAAGACTCTTGAATCTACAATCGAAGAGCTTGAGAAAGAAAATGGAGATTTGGCTGAAGTGAATATAAAGCTGAACCAGAAACTAGCAAATCAAGGGTCAGAGACCGACGATTTTCAGGCAAAGCTCTCTGCTTTAGAGGCTGAAAAAGATCAAAAAGCTAAAGAGCTTCAGACAACCATAGAAGATCTAACAAAACAGCTTACTTCTGAAAGAGAAAGACTACGATCACAGGTAGACATACATTCTGAAAATCTTAAATTTTTTATAGTATTGATAAACCATCTGATATCATGAAAAATGACATTTTGTTCTGTTGTAGATCTCTTCCCTTGAAGAAGAGAAGAACCAAGTCAGTGAGATATATCAGAGCACAAAGAATGAGCTTGTAAAGCTTCAAGAACAACTCCAAGAAGACAAGACTAAATCCGATGATATGGTATCAGAAATCGAGAAGCTCAGTGTCGTGGCTGCTGAAAAGTCGGTGTTGGAGTCAAACTTTGAACAAGTAGAAATACAATTGAAAAAAGTCGAAGCTCAGTTGAAAGAAGAGGTAATACTATTTGGATAACATTTTGAAAACTTGCTCACTGATTGATGAATGATGATGTTTCTTGGGTTTTTTTTTAATTTCAGGTCGAAAAAGTTGCAGAATTGACCTCAAAATTGCAGGAACATGAACATAAGGCGAGTGACCGAGATGTGCTTGACCAGCAAGCAATTCAACTTCATAAAGAGCTTCAAGCGTCTCACACAGCTATTTCTGAACAGGTTAATAAATCTTTCTTTAGCTTCTTCTAACTTTGCAAAACCGTTTGGGATTTTTAAGCTCTCAAGTCTGCTGCTATATTGTTGAGTTCTGATTTTTATTCTGTGGCGGAGTCAGAAAGAAGCAGTTTCTCAGAAGCATTTGGAGTTGGAAGCTACTTTAAAGAAATCACAAGAAGAGCTTGAAGCTAAGAAATCTATAATTCTTCATCTCGAATCGCTGTTGAAAGAGCTTGAACAGAAAGTGAAGCTTGCAGATGCTAAATCTAAGGTCAGACATGTATACATAACCACATTTTCGTTAAACTACATGTTTCTTTACTATACAAATGTCGAAAATTGCTCTGTTTATGTAGAAACCAAACCACATTTTCGTTAACCTACATGTTTCTTTACTATACAAATGTCAAAAATTGCTCTGCTTATGTAGAAACCAAATTTGCAGGAAACTGAGTCTACGGGAAAAGGAGAAGTAGAAGTGGAATCTCGAGGCATTGACTTATCTTTTTCAACTCCAACGCAACGTAAGAGCAAGAAGAACTTAGATGCTTCTCCTTCGCATTCGCCTTCTTCGGGAAATGTTACGACTCAGAAAGCTGAAACATCGCATCTCATGACATTGAAGATCGTACTTGGAGTGGCTCTTGTGTCTGTCATTATTGGTATCATTCTTGGGAAAAATTATTGAATTCTTTATGGTTTTGATTGTTTTATATATGAAAGATTTCTTTGTTTGATTGTTTATTATTGGCCAAGCAAGGCCACATGTTGCAGTATCAGCACAAGAATCTGATTAATTCTAACATTGTTGGAAATGGTTCATCGAAATTGAATTGAAAAATCATAAAGCCGTTAGATTAATGCGAATATTATCACATGTTTTATGGAAATATTTACTTTATTTCTGATTTTCGGTTATTTTGAGATCTCAGCGAGATATTGTATTATATAATTTGCAGGTTAATTTAGGGTTTTAAGAAAAAAGGAAAGTTAAAAGAAAAGGAAATAACTAGATAAATAAGGAAGTTGAAAAAAGGAAAAAGAGAAACCAATTTCAATCCAAAAAGGACAAACGTTTTGGTTATATATAGACACCTCTAAGTTTTACAAGACACAAAACAAATCACAACTCTGTTTATTTCTTCCAGAAACTAAAACTAACCATGGCTGATCATAACACTCCTCCCTATGACCTAACGAAACTCGACCATTACATCAAATACCAACCTGCAGAAGAAGCTGAAGACTTTTTTGTCGATGTCGAGGTCAAGGTTCTCGGAAAAGGATCTTCTCCGTTAGAGATCTTCTTATCAACCTCGGTCTATGATTTCATCTGGGAAGACGAAGATTGTTATGAGAAAGCAGAACTTTACGAATTCTTTGTCGAGGATGCTGGAATAGATTCATACGAGGCTCAGTTCTTGGTCAATGACTTGATTTTGTACGTTAACAAGGTGACACGACCGCTTGACGAGGACTTCACAGGAGTTTTCAAGTTGATGGCCGAAGTTAGGGTAAAACCGGTCGAGCTTAACCATGCCGGTTCAGATCAAACCGAATCCCATTAGCCAATTGCTACGACGGACGGTTAGATTGAAAACCAAAATAAAAGGCAGGACAGGTAGCTTAGGGTTTGTTGCTTGGACGAAAATCGAAGACAGGCGGGACAGGTAGGTTAGGGTTTGTTGCTTGGACGAAAATCGAAGACTTTTAGTTTTATGTTTTTCCTTTTCTTTTTTTTTTTTCTACCAACAAATTTGGATTGTATATTTTCAATTCGATTGAAGATAAAAATTTGTTAACCCTAATAATTTGTAAAGCAGAAGCAACCATTGTTATTTGATTATAAGAGATTTCTTTATAAAGTTGTAATAATTAGATTTATCAGTCGTTATAATTGAACAAATCATAACAAATCAAAGCTATTAATTATACAAATCCAAGAGCAAGACAAATGAATTTAAATACTAGAGGTCCAAATACAAACCACAATATGTTCGAATCCAAAGTATTACAAGAAACTTATAAACAAAAAATAGAGAATTTATACAATAAGGCTGGAGAGAATAAATAATTCACATCACATTCACAAACACATACACTCGTCATAAATAAACCATTCCCAAAAGCTTAGAAGCAGATGTCCAGGGCACAACAGCAACACATGGCCGCAAGACTACAAACAAAAAATTCCAGAAAAAAAATTAGAAAGAGAAATAAGCTATTTGGGCTTAATATATCGGCCCATTAAGGATAATTATGTTGAAGCATAAATTTGCATAATTTGATGATAATGACTTACCAGCCTTTAAAGAATCCGTCGCCCTTAGACTTGGTTTCCACTTTACTCTGAGCTACCGAACCATGACTCGGTTGGTTCGTTGGGTAACCAATCGGCGGTGGTGGTGATGGACCGGTAGACATCGGTGGCGGTGGATTAGCTCCTACGTTACATAGTATACATAAAAAGTTTACAAAATATTCTTAAGATAACGAAAATGATTAAAGACAAAACAAAAAAAACAGAGGAATTTTCTTACCCGCAGATTGGTTGTGATCGTACTGAGTCATCTTGGAGCGATTAGTGTAAAGAACCTCGATCTAAGGCAAAGATTTTATGAATATTTGTCTGAAAAACAATGTTTTGTATCGATCAAGAATGTTTTAATCTTTGAATATTTATGTACAAATGCGTGTGTATGTAAATATATAGAGAGAGATCAAGGAAAAATAAAAGAAGGTAGTAGGTCGGTTTATGAGAACCGCGTGGAGGATAGAACATTAATGGTTACGTCACCAGAATAAATTCCAAACAAATGATATAGTAATTAAATGAGTCAATCAAAGTGATCCAAAGTTTTTACTAAATACAAAAATTGTAAAGTAATTTGGACATTTTCAGCCGAAAAGCGTGGTACTGAATTTATGTCGACACGTGCGGCGTTCTAACGGTTGAGACCAAGTTTTGTTGAATTTTTGAGAAAACGACATAAAGCTTCTTTTCTTTCTTTGCTTTGTTGAATCATCATCTAATAGTTTATAGTTATACATCATTCAAGCAAAGATTAAATGTTGGTGAAAGTCTTCGGAAGTTAACTAAATTAACAGTAACTATGAATTCGACAAACGATAACTGGGAAAAAAAATGGAGCTGAATTAGCGGTGTTCCTAAAACGAAATATCCAAAATCAGGACTACTAAGATTTAAATTAAAGCCACAAATAATGATAAGTAATCTCTAATTAGCAGTGTTCCTAAATGAGCATGTTAATGAAATAATTTGGTTCCCCACTCATAAACGCAATTGTTATTCTCGATATATACGTCATCTTTAGTTGATAGATTGAATCATCTTACAATTCTGTTTTTGTGATATGAACGAATGTAAAAAGTATTTTAGGGATATAAAAAGGAAAAAGACAGCTCTTTTGTTGATAATATAATGTTGAAGAAAATAATTTGGTTCTCCACCCATAAACGTAATTGTAATTCCCGAATCACACGTCATCTTAGTTGATTTTTCGCACAATAAATATCTTACCTCAAAAAAGCTGATTTACACATTACAAAACAAACTTGGATCAGTCGACAAAAAAAAACACAAACTTGGATCATCATCATTAGACAAATCTTTTCCTAATTTGAATTTCTAAGTTCTAGTTCGGATGATTATAATAACAATACCATGAAACATCTTCAAAATTGTATCTTCTTTTTTTTTCTTGTCTTTGGTAAAAAAAAAAAAGGGGAGTCATCATCCAAAAAGTTTATATGTCCATGAGATCCAATTTATCAACCCCAACACTCTTTGTTTTTTTGCATACACTTTGTAGCCTCTTTCATGTATAAATTTGCTAAACAACTATTCTCTCCTCCATAAAAGACTCAAGCAGCATTAAGAGCTTCGAGCTGTTTCTTCAGATCTTCAAGGTCATCTTCCTCCTCTGTTTCTCCTGACCCTGAGGCTATGGCTATTGCTTTCTCATACTCATCTGCAACTGGGAGCTCCCGAGTAAGCCCTTCGGGCAATGTATCTATAACATAACACAAGATCAATTCAGATAACCGTTAGAAGAATAAGATTTAAGTTTGTTACATTTTCACATAGATAGCACATAGAGTCCCAAGTTGAAATTACCTGAACTTGAGGCAGCTTTTGTAGTATCCTTCTCATTTTCATCGTCGACAACACTGATAAAAGACATGAGATACACATCAGATTTCTTGTTGCTAATATGACTGTAGAAAGGAGAAAAATATGATCCAAAAAACACAAACTTTGGTTTTTTAACTAATTCACTGAGTTGTTACCTTATGTTCCACTCATTATCATCATGGAGTGGACCTTCATCAATAGCTGTGGATGCATCAGCTTCCATCTTAGCTTTAGCAGCAGCGTCCCTTTCTGGTTTCGCAAGCATGTATTCTTTCTGCATTTTGGGATTTTATTTTTTTCACCAGAAATTGGATGGAAACAAAGTCGCATAACAAAGAAGAGGTGAGATAGTTTTGTAGTTGCATTTACTCAAGTTACCTGCCGCTGTAGACAAGCTACATTCGAGCATTGTGGATTTGGTCTCATTTTCATGGTTGGGAAAAAATCCTTCAGTGAATTGTAACCCTGTGGAATCAAGTAACATGCATAAAACTAGTAAGCTTGAACTGATTCAAATGATAATCATTCTGTGATAAACCATAAAGTGTTAAATGTGAGGAGAGCTGGAGAAAGCAAAGCCTTTTACCAAGTATGGAGAAACTTCACCAAAATTTAGTAAGAACTTGAGAGAGTTTTGAACCAAAAGCCCCGCAACAACACCCTGAATTGACAATCAAACAAGAGTCTTAGAACATAGATAGAGCTTAAATAAACAAAAGAATTAACAGCAAATATGATAAATAGCCAACATAGCCAAATTTTGTTCAACCATATTGTAAGTCGGTATAAAATTACCATAGTAGTTGGCAGAGATGCAGCACAGACCCCTTCCCGCTTAAGTGTCCGTTCATCAATTCCAGATGCCACGACCTACCACAGAAATAATAAAGAGATTGTTTAGAGGAAATCCAAATGTAGTATTAACAATACCCTGGATCACAGAATCCTTAAATTCACCCATATTCCACTGATGCATTCCTCAAGCATTAAGGCAGGGGGTATGATAGGTTAGAGCTGTAAGAGTGATATAAGAAGGAAAAAAACATACCAGGGGAGGTGCACAAGCAAAACAAGCAGTTTCTCCGGGAACCAAGAGCTGTATGTGACCTGAAACAGCATCTTCGGATACACCTGCACAAAATATCACCTTCTTTGTTAGCCAAAAGACAAATGAAAATAAGAAGTACATGTAACTATTAGCTTTTCATACTATTTACCTGACTCCATCCATGTTTGACGTAACTCATTGCATGCCTATATTTCATAAGAATAAACTCAAATCAGAGCCAATCTGGAACATTTTTATATATTTTCCATTCATAACTAATTGAATTATGTAGAATGTAAGATCAAAATTCTCGATGGTGAAGTAAGAACTATGTGGAATTTGTAACAAAAAGGCCTTTTCCGAGAAAGAAGGAACAGCTACCTGGTTGACAGCCATCCTTGCTTCATAGTTATCGACACAACTCAAAACAAGATCCACACCACTGCCGCCCTCCTTGCTAGGACAAAATGACTTGTTCGTCAAGCTCGACGTGAAGGTTTCAAAGCCTTGCACTGTTGTTATGTTCATTGTGAAACTCTAGAAGAAGAAAAATAGAAATAGCATAAATTAATGACTCAGGAATTCTGTAGGTGTGAAGCTAATAATTTTCCGCAGTAAACAGCAGAAATAATAAATTACCCAGAAAGAGCCTAAGGATACATACACCATAGATCTCCCACTTAAACTAGTACAAAATGTGTGTAACCTCATGATCAAGTAGAAAACATACCTCCAGTACTACGTCAGGGTTTATTTCTGCAAGGGTCTGGACAGCAGCATCAGTCTTTGTCATACCAACCTAGAGTCACAATTATCCGGAGATCAGAAACAATACAAACTGGATGAGAAGAGATATTGCAAAACTCAATGAGAGTTACATACCTGATCAGGTCGAAAAAACAGTCTATTCATGTTAGCTAGCTCCACAGTGTCATAGTCATACAACAAAAGACGACCAATACCACATCTGGTCAGCATCTCAGCCGCAACACTTCCAACACCACCAATTCCCTATACAATCCATTATATAATAGATTAATGAATGCACAAACTTAGTTATATAGCAGAGGGAAAAAAAGGAGAGAAACACAGACAACAATGGCGACTGAAAACTCTCTAATTCTCTCATAGTTGTCCACAATACCCATCCGCTGAAGTGCCATAAGCCTACTATAAGGATTACTATCTACCACTTCCGAGCTTAATTCCTGCATATAGAGGTTCTCCTTGAAATCAGAAACGTTTAACAGAAGATTAAAAAGTAGAAGAATTTGTGAGTATAATATAATGCAAGACCTTGACTTTGGAACGCCGGTGAGGATTACATTTAGACAGAGTGGCTAGATTCTCAACATGTGATCGGAGCTGCAAATAATCCCAAGGAGAGAATTACATAAGCAATGCAACAAGAAAAAGCTTATAAGCGAAATTATCATCGAGATACATGCGAAAATTCGGAGATTTTTCAGAGCCAGATCAATACAAAGATAAAATCGTAAACACCATTGCATGTGGAAATTTACTTCTTTCTAGTTAAAGAAAAAAGAAGACAGGATTGGAACAGAAATCCATAATTCACAAGATTTATCAATAAAAAACGAGATCGGAAGTAAAACCCGAACACCTTGTGAATCGGAGCCGGATCTGAGAGAGATTTCTCGAGGACATCAAGATCATCGAGCAATGCTTTGAATTCGACCTCCATTGTTCAGCTCTCAATCGAATCTGCGATGCTGATTTGGGAGAGACGAAGTTTACAAAAGGTTTAAAGCCAAAAACGTTATTAATTTCACTAAAAGAAAGAACCAAAAAAAAAAAAAAAAAAGTGTTTGACTTTAAAAAGAGTTGACCAAGATAAGAAGGAAGCGAAGGAACATAAATTTATCCGGTCTGTTTTAAAGATGATTGTAGATCACACTGGGCCTTAAAATAGCCCATTATATATTTTTGTAATTTTGGATCCACCATCTTCTTCGTTTTTTTTTTGTTGCACAAGAAAGCCTCCTCTTTATGCTTGACGTATACGGTTGGGAAATTAGGGTTTGGTGGGTTCTTGGAGATGTTGTAGCCGGCGAGTACTCGATAAATAAGGAGGGATTTGAGGTCCAATCTAACTCAAAGACTGAACCCTCTTATAAGGAGGGCTTGCCGTCATCAGTTAAAGATGGCGGATGAGGGACGAGCCACCGCCATGGCCGCTACAGGAAGCCCTAGCAATCGCCACAGCGACATCATCGCCAAAGAAGCTGGAGACTTGATCAGTAGGTTGCATGATGATATTCTCCAACTTATTCTCTCTTATCTTCCAACCAGATTCGCCATCAGAACTTCCGCCTTGTCCAGGCGATGGAGGCATCTATGGTCTGATACATGGTCGCTCTCCTTTTATAGGGATAGACCGGATGCTGCTGCTTCTATTAACAGAATCCTAGATCGCTACAGGGCTCCCAAGTTGATGAGTTTCCGTATCTGT